TTAAAAGCAATTACTTGTTCGTGGACAAGAGTAGTGGAAAACTTATTTTGCCTTTCGAATTGCCTTAATCACATAGGTCGAAAGTTTTTGGTGACATTTACCCTTCATCATTATTTGAAGTCAAGCATTTTGCACTCAACCTGTTTTACGTCTGCCAAAAGATGCCTATTACTATCCGTATTCTGTTTGCCGGTGTACTTAATACTTTGTACTGAAATTGGCTTCCTGTTTTTAGTCATAATTACTTAGTCAAAGGCCAAATCAGCGTTTTTAATTGAAAAACTGTTCTTCATGAATTCACCATCATCCATCACGTCATGATCTTTATTTGCAGTTGATCATTCTAGAGACGAGAAAAACAGTACTGGACTGAATATTTTCGAGACATCGCTATTTCGTTTACCGTGGACGATAGATGCCGTCTTAGGTACTGAGGGCATTCAGCTGTGACATGCACGTAAATTTATTTATGATTCTACATATTTGCACCGACGCAGTTTGTGCGCATTACACACGTGTCTGTCGTTAAAGGTGGGGGGTGGGGGAGGGAGTGTTCACGTGTCATGTTAGTAATCGTGATATAAAGGTCACCTTAGGGAGAAACAACTGAAGACTGACACTGTCTGAAGACGTTCGAAGTCAATCCTCCAGTTACGGCATCTCGACTATCATTCCACCGTAAGTTCGAAGACGCGTTGATTTTCCAACAGCAGAGAAAGCCGATTTGCCTTTTCTCCTTTCCCTTTATCATGTACCAGTGATTTTTCCGAGTTGTGCACTAGTGCCCTGTTGCTATGCAAGTTGTAGGTGAAGTTTTGGTGAGTTTTGTCGTGTTTGCGTGTAAAATTGAATAGACCAGCGTAACACCGCAATGTGTAAGGGCAGTATAGACAGGTAAGCTGAACCTGAAGGGTGTTAGTTAAGGTTGTCGGCGGTGTTTCACTATTAGTGCTACGATATATTCGCAAATTACAGACTAGACCTTAATGTAGCATGAATGCATGGTCAAGGCAAAATAATTTTTCGTTCGTGTTAAATATGTACGCGTATAGGTTGTTCAACTATGTGTGTAAGTTGCATGGGTACATACACTGTTGCATGCATGAGTGATGTTTTAGTGATTATTTTAGATCGAATAAGTACTAATCCCTCCCCCTTATACTTCGTTATATCGGTTCGTTGGCCACCGTGTTCCTTTACTTCCATCCTAAGACTCATGATGAATAATAGGTCAAACCACCAGGGCCTGACATTTGATCTCCACTTAATGGTTAAAACTCAACGTTTGGAGAGACTGTAGACCCGTACAATAAGATTGTTCTCATTTATAGGCATTATTTGATTTGCACTGGCGTTGAATCATGGCCACCAAGCACTGTGTATTATGTCGACACAA